GTGCATGGCTGGGGCAGGTCTGGGCTGTGTTGAGGGACCCAGAGTTGTGCGTGGCCGGGGCAGGTCTGGGCTGTGTTGAGGGACCCAGAGTTGTGCGTGGCTGGGGCAGGTCTGGGCTGTGTTGAGGGACCCAGAGTTGTGCGTGGCCGGGGCAGGTGACAGGTCTGGGCTGTGTTATGGGAGTCACATGGAACATTCCGGCTGGGGATTAGTGTTGAAATCCAAGCTTTGCTTTAGGACAGAATAATAAAATCAAGCTCTTGGCATGTCAGGATAATTAAACCAGTTCCTGCTCTGCGCTCTTTGGTGTTGTTTCCGGGAGGGCTGGCAGGATGTGGGGCATTTGTTTGTCAATGTACTTTTCTCCCTGGACTCTTTCAGGTGGAATGATTGGGAAGATCTCCCTTAAGGGGGAATGGCTCCCATGACTCCCCACAGATCTGTAGGCAAGGTCTTGTACGCTGGTGTCCAGAGCTCAGATACAATGGATCTGCCAGTCCCCTTCCTGCTGGTGCCCAGAGCTGTGCTCCTTCCCCGTGACTGCTCAGGGCCCGGCCGGGGGGTTCCTGTGGCGAAGTCAATGCCAGTGTCAGCTGAGAGCCTGCAGCCTGGACTCTGTCTATTCACAGAACAGGTCCAGCATGGGTGGAGGCAGCAGCAGCTTCCCCTCCCCCCACACCAGCTGGCGATGTCCCTCAAACCCTGCACTCACCCCCCATGTGCAATGGCTTAGTGAGTCTTGGGCCGCTCTGCTGAGATGCCAACAATGGTGCTTCCCTGCCCACTGGCAAGTGGGCTGAGAGGGCCTGACTCATCTCCCTGACTCAGGGTTGGGAGCTCCTCCGGGCAGAGACTGTGGGCTGGGTTCTCCAGTCTGCTATGGCCCCGCAGTGCCACTTACACGGCTCATAGTGGCCCTAAGGCCGCTGGAGAATTCAGGGGGTTCTGCTAGGCAGGGGACTCCGTGCTGGGGTAAAGCTGGTGGCAGAGGCCCTGACACTTCCTGTGCCAGCTGCCCCCTTGCCCTTGGCATAAACAGGAGGAGGGGGCATATTGGGAGGGAAGGGGCAGCGCTACCCCAGAGACCTGATGCCTGTGGTGCAGTGCTGCCCTGTGCCGTGGCCCGGCAGCCCTGAATCGTGAGCTGCAGCCAGCATGGATGGTGCGGAGCCTGGAGCCCTGTGCCATGCTCAGCATCTCAGCGAGCTCGCGGCCAGAGCTGGGTAAACCGCAGCAACGGGCCACTGAGCAACCAGAAGCTGGGGAGCTCGCCCGCCGCTCCCCCTGCAGGATTGCCATTCTGGTTACTGTCCCCTGTTGTATCGCAGCTGAGCCCATGTGTGGGTGTGAGTGAGTGTGCATGTGTATTTGTGGGGGGGTACATACATTGTGTCCACACACCTGTGTATGCGCGCATGTGTGAGTGTGTGTGATAGCGTGTGTGTGCACAGGTGCCTAAGAAGAGGCGACGTTTTGATTAGATTCCCAAATCTCTCTCTCCTGCCGATGTGATTCCTTTCATGCCAGTTCTTCCCAGGGCAAGATATTCGCAGCCAAGTTCCAGAGCCGTGAAGAGAGCAGGCTGGAGCCGGAGCTGCCTGTGTCCTGACTAGTACCACCCGGTCAGAGCATGAGGGCCTGGGCCGAGTCCAGGACGACGCCCCATGCTGAGAGCGGGGCACTGGATTATCACTTGCAGACAAACCCAACCCTCCCCAGGGACTGGAGCGCCGCCTTCTGGGACTTGCATTCTTCAGCTACCCGACTGCTTGTTTGCTAAGGGAATGGCCTGGAGCCACTTCTCTCAGGAGCTCGGTGTTGGGGGGCCAGGGTCCTGGGTGTTCGATACAGGTGCCCTTGTGGATGGAGATAGGGTGACCAGATGTCCCGATTTTATAGGGACAATCCTGATATTTGGCGCTTTTTCTTATATAGGCGCCTGTTACCCCCCACAATCTGTCACGATTTCTCATACTTGCTGTCTGGTCACCCTAGGTGGAGGTGATGCCCCTGCAGGCTGCCAGGGGATTGCAAGGACTCTGGACTGAAGTTACACTCGTGTACACACAATCGTGTGCACCCCAGCCCACCCCCCATTGCAGGGGGAAACAGGCGGTGGATATAAAACCCCACACTGGACAGGAAACAGGCCGAGGGAATGGGCAGCGCTGTGGAGGGCTGGCTCTTGCTGTCTGTCACATCTAGTTTGACTGTGAGGTTTCAGGGCGGTGCTGGGGCATTTGGCATGCAGGGTTGGTGGGGGGTTGTCTCTCTGGGGAGAGGATAACGGCCATTCGTGTCTCTTTGCAGTGTGTGGTGTCCCTGTGCAGAGCTGCATTGACTACTGTCGCCACACAACGGCCCAGAGCAACTGCTCCCTCTGCCTGCCTCTCTGCTCTGGTGAGTCCTCATCGCCCATGGCCTAGCTGGGTGCTTTGTGCCCCGGGCTGGAGCAGATGCTGAGTAGCACAGCTTCTCCTAGCACAGGGGGCAGGGCTGTGCCTCCAGCCCTGGCATGGCAGGGGGAAAGCCTCCCAGCTCAATCTTCTCCTGGCTTCGTTGGGCTTTGAGATGCTAGAGTCACCCTGGACTCTCCTGTCTCCCCCACCTGGAGAGCTCATAGCATTCCCGCTTTGCCTTTGGCTGACCTGACAACTGGTGCAAAAAGCCCTGATGCAAATCCCCCCCATGGAGACACAGCCCCAGAAAGCAGCCAGGGAAGGGGCAGCCAGCCTGCAGGGTCCCAGGGGGTAGAAGGTTGCGGCCTGTGGGTCTGTGAGACCTTAGCAAGCAAGGGGTGCCTGGCACGTCCCCTCCTGCGCTGTCTGGGGGTGACACTACCTATGGCCACATCTGGACGAGGGAAGGAGCAGATCATTAGAAGCGTGTTAGCAAGCATGATTTAGTGGAGTCTAAATACTAGTGTAGACGGGGCGCAGCACCTTTCAAACCTAGCTAGCTAGTCACAGTAGCCCGGGATGGGCCCTCTTCTATGGCTCAGGGGCTGGCAGATTTGCTAAATGCTCCACCTCCCCAAGCAGGATGGGAGGCAGGGAGACCTGCTCCAGCTGTGTGGCCTCTTTGCTTAAAGCCGGTTGGCCCATGGCAGCCCGTCTGTCAAAGTGAGGAGGCTTCAGGGTTTCTTCCAAATGTGGCTCCACCCAGCCTGGGAGCAGCAGGTCCTGGCCACAGGGACCCGTGGTTATTCAGTGTCACGGTGCGCCAGAGTCTGTCGCCTATGCCCCTTAGGAATGGGCAAATGGGTAACGGCCCAGGAGCAACCCCTTGCTGTCTGGAGGGGCGTCCCAGGAGGGGAGATCAGAGCAGTAGCCAATGCAGATTGTTGTCTCCAATGCTTCAGGGAC